GTAAAGACTCCTCCTCCTTTAAGAAAGGAACAGCAGTTAATAACATGGATGAACTGACCTGCACTCCCCCATTCCCTGCGCCACTGGGGGGGAGGTAGAGCCAGGAACAAAAGGAAATAGGGGGTGGGGAGGTGTTGTTTTTAGATCTGGCCTTGTTTTCTCTTTCTCCTCTCAAGTAACCGGTTTCATTCCCTTGTGTCTCTTGTTAGGTAACTGTTAATAAATTGTTTTGTTTTAAGAAGAAATCCTGAGTCATGTTTTGCCAGGGACCATGCTTGGTGGGTGCTCCATCTCGGTTCTTGTCTCGACCCTCAGTCCAAAAACCACGACAGGGATCCTCAGCACAGCCCTGAAGATCTGCACATAGGACACCACAACGAACACAAAACACCCAAATCCTAAACAAACACTAACCACAAGAAGCCCAGGTTCCCTGAGGTAGGAGTGTGAGCAGGAGAGCTTGAGGATGTGGGGGATTTCACAGAAGAACTGGTCCAGGGCATTGCCGTGGCAGAGGGGCAGTGAAAATGTGTTGGCCGTGTGCAGCACAGCATAGAGAAACCCAGTGGCCCAGGCAGCTGCTGCCATGTGGGCACAAGTTCTGCTGCCCAGGAGGGTCCCGTAGTGCAGGGGTTTGCAGATGGCAACGTAGCGGTCATAGGACATGATGGTGTGAAGAAAATACTCTGCTGATATCAAGAAGAGAAAGAAAAACATCTGAGCAGCACATCCTGAGTAGGAGATGTCCCTGGTGTTATAGAGGGAATTGGCCATGGCTTTGGGAACAGTGGTGGAGATGGAGCCCAGGTCAAGGAGAAAGAGGTTGAGGAGGAAGAAGTACATGGGGTTGTGGAGGTGGTGGTCACAGGCTATGGTGGTGATGATGAGGCTGTTTCCCAGGAGAGCAGCCAGGTAGATGCCCAGGAAGAGACAGAAGTGCAAGAGCTGCAGCTCCCGTGCGTCTGTCAATACCAGGAGAAGGAACTCACTGATGGAGTTGTCGTTGGACATTTGTTGGGCATGGAAGATTGTTGAAAGATGTCATGGTTTGGTGTGGGGGGGTGGTTCTGGTGGCAGGAG